GGCCTGGGGCTGCAGGGGAGACACTATCACAGAAAAAAAAATCCATATATGTGTATATAGTTTGCAAAAATATTTTATTTAGTATTTTTATTTTATGTGTATGAGTGTATTGCTTGCATGTGTGCAAGTTCACCTGTGCTGTGCAATGTCCACGGAGGTCTGAACGGGCTTTGGATCCCCTGGAATTAGAGTTACAGACCATTGTTAGCCACCATGTGAGTGCTGGAAATCAAACCCAGGTCTTCTGCACGAGCAATCAGTGCTCTTACCCTCTGAGCCATCTCTCCAGTCTGATGTGTATATAGTTTGTACATTACATAAGAGTATAAGGAAAGATCACACTGTTATTAGTATGCTTTAACAGAAATGTCAATGGTAATGTAGTATAGGCAGGAAGAAAAAAATGAAAAAAAATAGAAAAAATTCAAAGACTTGCATTTAAAACTAAAAATACATTCAATAACATGCATTTATGCAAAACTCTGAATATATATACCTATGTAACTTAGAAAATTCACAAAGGGAAAATGTCAAGGGAATAAAGGGCTAGAAAAAGTATGATAGACTACTTAACTAATCTCGGAATTTAAAAAATGACAAAGCAGTACCGAGGAGGCAGAGGCAGGTGGATTTCTTTGGATTTGAGGCCACACCTGGTCTACAGTACTGAGTTCCAAGCCAAACAGCACTATATAATAAGACCCTGTCTCAAAAACAAAAGGAAGAAGAAAGACAAAGAATAGAATAAAGAATAAAAGAAATAAAGCAAAGAAAAAAGGATAAAAGAAATAAAGAAAAAAGGCAAACAGACTGGTTATGTAGTTATGTAGATTGAAAAGCAATCAGTAGTCCTCCCCAGAAGTAAAGCCTACAAATCAAAACAATGACTGGCTGGGCAAGGTATCCCCAATGGTACAACAGTGGAACTTTTATCTGGAGGTAATCAACAACTGTCCAATTGGACTTAAGACCCTCCTAATAGAAGGGAATTTATCCCTGGTATCATAAACCTAGCCAACTACCTGTGACTGTAGAGGTCACAGACCCTAGAGAAGATGCTACTCCTGCCAATTTCCTAAATTAATATAATTTATAACTGTATTCTAAATATTTACCCTTATACCCACAGATAAGTGAAGCTTTCACCCCTCATCAAAGAAGCTTCTTTTTGCAGCAGATGGAAGCAACCACAAAGACTCACCACTGGTCAAAACGCAGAGAAAAAGTGAGTGTGGAGAGTCTAGCCCCAACTGATATATCAGCAATGCAACTCCTCCATACTCAGAGAACATCACAGAAGAAACAGAGGACACATTGTAAAAGCCAGAGGACCAGATGTCTGCTGCTAGATAATACATCCTGATAGAGAAACTGCATCTATGAAATCTCAATAATATGTTTGTCTAAATAAGACCTGCATAATGCAAGACCAGTTGACATGCCAATGTGGGTAGGAGAAATTTCACAAGGTCTTAGGTCTACTGTAAATCAAAGGCTGATGAGAGAGTAAGAATCAGGTTTTTTGGAGGGGCAATTTCCTTGATAGGTTATCTAATCCCAAGTGATCATACCTAAACACGTGTACATAACAAGAAATACTATATGGACTCAGTAGGTTATGCAGATGTGTGTGTGTGTGTGTGTGTGTGTGTGTGTGTGTGTGTAGCAATAGTAATTAAAGAAGCCATGAATTTTAGAGGGAGAGGGAGAAGGGTGGAAATGTCAATATAGTACTTGTGTGTGAAATTCTCAGAAAAAAATCGAAAATTAAATTTTTAAAAAAGAAAGAAATTCATCATTCTCAGCATAAGGTTAGTTTGAGAAGAGACCCTATCTCAAATACAATAATAATAATATATTTACTCCCTTAAAATATTTTGAATGTTAAACATCATTATAAGCAAAATATTAATCAACAAAGCATAAAATGCAACAATTATGACAAAATGGCATGTGCTTCATTAAAATTGCTGTTGGTAAACAAGAATTCTAGCATCGCTTACAAAATGAATAAAGAGTTTGTATGAACCACAAGATACATAGATAGCCAATAATCCAGTCTCAATAGTTAACAAATAATTATAACACTAGGCATTAACCAAAAATATCTATTAATTTGACAAAATATTTTTTTTATTTTATTATTATTTTGTGTATGAGTGAATTGCATGAATGTGTGTAAGTGCACCTGTGTCATGCAGTGACTGTGGCGTCAGAAGGCGGTGTCAGATTCCCCTGGAACTGGAGTAACCAATGTTTGTTAGCTGCCATGTGGGTGCTGGGAATCAAACCTGGGTCCCCTGCAAGAGCAGTCAGTGCTCTGAACCACTGAGCCATCTCTCCAGCCCCCAAATTTCACAAATAATTTTAAATAATAAATTAATACTAGTTTAAATATAGGCAGATAAACCAATAGTAAGGGTTCACAGGTAGTTATTCTGGTAAGATCTATCTACAGAAAGTAGCCAATCTGTTTTAAAAGCCTTAAAATATCAATATCCTTAGATTCAATAATCTTACTCATAAAAGTCAACCTAACAAATATGAGGAAAAATCATTTGCACACATGGATCTCAACCACAGTGCTCATGGAAAGATCTAAGCTAAACTAAATAGTGAGTTATGAACTACTGAAGTTTGATATTACAGAATGTTATATACCCATTAGAATCGTTTCAAATATAGTTAATGATTACATATATATGTATATGTATACGGCATTGCTTAATGTCAAATTTAAAAGATATAAATAAAGCCCCCTACATTCTGTTGTCCTCACTGAATGTAAATATGTCTGTACCAAACAAACTGTGCTTTAATGATCCTCCTGTCTCTCATCTCCCCCTCTTCTTCCCCCCCTTGTAAACTGCTTTTCAGTCTCTTTTCCTTTTTCACATCCCAAATGTCTTTTTGTTCACCCTCATCCTTTCTCATCATCTAATTTTACCATCTGTTGGTTTTCTTTCTAGTTATTTATTACCTTGTATGTTTACTTTAACAAGAAATTCAAAATATAGAAAAAAATTTAATCTACTTCCCTATGTGCTATATATCATGCACTGTGTTTATATGCATTATATATAAATATGATATGTAACTCATAAAAATAAAATAAATATGTCCGTATAGAAGAAAAGGTACTTAAAAGTCAAAATAATTATTCTTGACTGTTGAAATTAAAATGACATTTATTTGATGTATTTACACATAGTTTCATATACTTGGTGTTTACTGATTTACAAAATCATGTCATTATTGACTTTTTCTTAAAGTAACTAAGAACATTGGGTTTCCTCTCACCCCATTTCCACAAAGTGTATAAGAAATTTCAATTTATCAAACCAAAATTTCATTGACTTGCGATAGGATTCTTATAGCTTCTAACTGATGGAGTGAGCTGTAAAATGTAAAACCCCAAACTTGAGAAATGGGTGTGTGTATTACATCCCTTCAACTTTTCTCTCACTCTCTCTCTCTCTCTCTCTCTCTCTCTCTCTCTCTCTCTCTCTCTCGCTCCCTCTCTCTCTGTCTTTCTCACTCTCTCTCTCTCTCTCTCTCTCTCTCTCCCTCCCTCTCTCTCTGTCTTGCTCACTCTCTCTCTCTCTCTGTCTCTGTCTCTCTCTCATTTTTCTCTCTCAGAATAGTTTTCATTTATTTTTTGAGAATTTTATAAATGTATAACATTTTGATGATATCCAGCCCAAACTCTCCTCTCCAGTTCTTCCTGGACCACTCCTCCAACCCATTCCCCTCTGTCCTGGGTACCTTCAGCTGTCAATTTGACATACCTGGGAAAAGGGAACCTCAGTTGAGGAATGGTCCCCATCAGATTGGCCTGAAGCTCTATATGGGGGCATTTTTTTAATTGTGGGTTGATGTAGGAGGGCCCCGCCCACTATGGGTGGTGCCATCCCTGGGTAGGTGGGCCTGGGCTATATAGAAAGAGTAGCTGAGCAAGCCAGAGGAAGTAAGCAGGTAAACAGCATTCCTTCATTATCTGTGCTTCAGCTCCTGCCTCCAAGTTCCTGTCCTGCCTTGAGTTCTTGCCCTGACTTCCATCGGTGATGGATTGTGACCTTGGAACTGTATGCTGAAATAAACTCCTTCTTCCCCAAGTTCCTTTTGATCAATCACAGGAGTGGAATCCAAACCAGAACACCCTCCCAACTTCATGTCCCTTTTTCATTGTTATTTTTAAAAATGAAGCACTGAGTCTAATTAGAGCTGCCTAAATATGTAGGAGTATGGGGCCATCCACTGGAGTGTGGGTAACCTACCAGGGGCCACACCCCTGAAGAAAAATAACCTCGTCTCTCTCCCAATAGCCTTCACCTGCCAAGCTCCACTATTGATTTCAGCTATGAACCTGGAACATCCACTAACCTCCCTTTGGTAGTTGTAAACTCAACACTAATTTATGAACTTTTGATCACTTAATCTTATCTTTAGAAACTGAGTATGCAAGTTATATTTAAATGCATATGTATTGTCATTAATAAGGTATGTTTTAGAAATTACCTTATATCTTATATTTAAAGAATTTGAATTTAAATAATTTGATGACAAAAGAACAGGAATAGGAGTTCCCTTACTTTGTTCCTACATGCCAAAGGACCAGTTCACTCATATTCTGGGAGACAGTCTCACAGTACGGAAAGCATTGCCTTAGGATGCACCCTATAGCACACCACTCATCTCTAATTACCTGTTGCACATGGAACTGCATTTTGAAATTCAAGAATGCTTAAACTTGAGTCACCTCAAATTATGATAATATTCATAATTGTACTTGCATAATTGAAAAATCATATTCAAAAAATGAATCATGCCTTTCTCATACTATATTATCTCTGGAAAAAACCAAGACATCATATGTGAAGATTGCACACATTTTACTGTTGCTGTTTATCAATACAGTCACTATCCTACTGTAATGATGACCATTACTTCTTTTGTGACATGAGTCCTAATATTATTCAGATCTTTGATAAGTCATCTACCTCTGCTGATTTTTGTAGACCATCATGGCATAGAGCAAGAATGGCAGTCTTCTCCCACTTCTGTGCAACTTGATTGGCTTCTTCTATCTTCTGCTCACAACTTTTTTGAGAATTTAATAATGTCACCTCATAAAATTCTTGAATATCTATAAAGAAAATGGCAAGAAAAAATGAAATGTGATATCATGCCTCATTAATAGTTTGTGCATGTATGTACACACAATATGCGTACAAAAATGACTAATTAAAAATTGAAATAATATGTATTCATGAAAGACTAAATGATCTATAAATCAGTTAAGCACTGACTAGGATGCTTGTTATAAAGTATCACTGGCATTGAAACAGTAAGGGACATCTCTAAAAATGATCTTTTACACACAGAAAGACCACACACACTGACAATATATAGGCAACTGGAGCTGACATCTGAGTACAGTTCAGTATGCATTCTAATTAACCTCTTGTACCAATGCATGAAGAAACAAACCACAATGTTCATAGCAGCATAAGTCTTAATAGCAAAAAGCTAGAATATTACACATTTAGTAGAAACTGTGCCTCATTTTTTTACTTTTGTCTTTCCTTGGCTAGTAATAACTAGCAAAATACTTTTGCAATACTGGGCCACGGCAGTGAGTTCCATCTGCTGGTCAGCTACCAGTAAACAACTGCTCCTCCAAATATCCTCCATTACTAAGCTGTGATTTTTGGTCAGTTAGGTGCATTACACAGAGTTTTGATTTACAGTGTTTTCAACTAATAGTGTGCACATAACATTGTTGTAAGTCCAGGAAAACATATACCTTATTCTCACCTGCTCCTTTACTTTTGACTAATTATTTTGTCATACACACATATGCACACACACACACACACACACACACACACACCTAAAAAATAAAAAGTAAGGAATGTTTTGTGAATATAAGAATTACAATCTGAGCATGGCAGCACATGTCTCTAATCCCAGCACTTGGGATGCAGAGACAGGCAGATCTCTATGAAATTGAGCACAGCCTGGTCTACGTAGTGAGTTCCAAGTCAGTGAGGGCTACATAATCAGACCCCATGTCAAAATACCAACAAAAAAAAATCATGAAGCATTTCATAGACATGTTTTTTGAAAATTGTGGTAGATTATGATTAACACAGAGACCCACAACAAATCAACATGCAGAGAATAAGAAATAGCAGAGTGCCTAGCCTTAAATGGGACATCTATAACAGACCCCACACCCCAAGGCTCATGAGCCATCAAGGAAGACAGAGTGGAACACTCAGAGAGCTAGGTATGGTGGATGGCCACAGGAAGCAGTGTTTTCCAGACAGCAGGGCAGTCTGGCAGTTATGACAGCAGTTATGACAGCATATACAAGACCTACATAAGCCTAAACCAGACAAAATCCCAGCATGGGGGCAGCAAGTAGATGTGGAGCCTTATCCCTAGTTGAGGAGCTATTGGCAACTGACAGAGGTTGGGAGAGGAGAGTCAGTTTTCTTTAAGGGTGTGACCCCTGATAGGCTGATCACATTCTAGGGGATGAACCACAGCCAAGAATACTTGGGGAACACAAATTGGACTCTATGGGCTTAAAATATTTTTTAAAGGACAGAAAGTTGAAGAAGGGTAGGGAGGGGCAATATGATTAAAATACATTGAATGGAATTCTTGAAGAATTAATACAATTATTATAATTATTATATTTTAAAATCTTTGAATTTTACACACATCTACAACTTGGTTTTGCTCTTCTCAATAAATTGTCTATGAAGCCAAGTTGAAAAATGGATAAGAACAGAAAGCAAAAGCTGACACTTGGCTGTTGGTTCACCCCCTAGAATGTGGTCAGCCTATCGGGTCAAACCCTCAGAATTTTTGATACTGTAAGGACTTGCAGGGTATTAATCTGGTTGCCAAAAGTTAAAAGGATAGAGATTAAAAATATTAATTCCAGGGAGCAAGATGTGTTTGTATGATCAGGTCTCAAATACTAATTAAAAAGAAATAAGAATTTCTATGAAGAGTTCTGTAACTACACAGTCTCATTAGAGGCTAATGGCATATGATTAAAGTCATTTTTATAAACGAAACTTCAATTTTTCTTTCTCCATCATTCTTAAAAAGATACTTTATTTGATCCAAATTCTTCCAAAATATCATCTCTAACATATTAATACATATATTTAAAAATAATTAATGAGATACCTACATTATTTAGACTGTCTTTAAAAATAATTGTATATTTAACTCAAGTTTCATTTTAAGGGTGAAAATGTTGTTTCACCACAGCATTCCCAAGCTTCCAACTTTTATGCTAGGTATATAAATTATCTAGTAAGGGAATCATATTTATCATATCATGCTAAGGATTCATATTAAAAAGCTATACTATGAAACAAAACAGATAGCAGTGATATGATAGAAAAATCTTATAGATAGTATGTCTGTGTTAAATGTGTGACTTTACTTAATTTATACCTCCAAAGGTGACAAAATGTTCAAAGTCTATTTTACTCTTTTGTCCCTTCTTTTGCCTAACTGGCTACTAGAAAAATTGAAGTAACCTTAATTAAGTCAATGATTACTAAACTTGAAAGAAATTCAATAATCAGTGTTAGATCTCATTTGGGTTAGCAAGCATTATTTCTGAGACCTGACATTTTGTCGTTTTCAAAGATTCTCTCTTCCGCATCCTTTTGTACTATTGCCCTACTCCCCCACTTTCTATCCTTCCTACTGCCAGAGTTCAGGCCCATGCCATCCCCTCTTCCCACTCTTCCTCTAGACCCAAATGCCCTTTCTCCCACAAAGAAAGCCTCCTCTCCAATTCAGTCTTTCAAGTCAAAGTTCTAAATATGAAAAGGCATCACTATAAAAACTATTCTTACTAAAATTCGGTTCAGTTGAGTGGGAAGTAAGAAACCAGGCAGCTACCATTAAAAATACAGTGTTGGGCGGGGGGGGACCAGAAGGAGGATGAGGAGGGAAAGAATTCTGCTACTTTTCTCCATTTTAGCAGCATATTGCCTGAATCTGTTTAATGCTTCTTTCTAATCCTACCATGTATTAGAATTAGCTTTTCACTCACCTTTCCACATTTCAATTTTAAAAAAGTCATTCTTTATTTATAAATTTATTTTCATTTTGTGTGTGTGTGTGTGTGTGTGTGTGTGTGTGTGTGTGTTGCCTGCATGTACGTAAGTGCACCTGAGTTAATATCTGTGGAGGACAGAAAAGAGCTTTGGATCCCTGCAACTGACACTAAGAACAGTTGTTAGCTGCCACGTGGGTACTGGGAACTGAACGTGGGTCCTCTACATGAGCAAGCACTGGTCTTAACTGCTGAGCCATCTCTTCAGGCCCTTATAGTTTTAGTTTTTGAGACTGCCAGAAACTTAGCTTAACTTCTTTCTATGTATCAACAAAAACAATTCAGGCATGAGGGGGAAGTCAAGTGACAGGAAAGCCCATAGGAATAAAGACAATGTCCTATAAAGCCATATGTTCTCTGGAATCAAACATCACTAGGCTTAGAGTTAGTAAACCAAAATGAGTGTTTGTTCAATTTAGCTTATTTGCTTTGCTTCACTAAGACTCAAATAGAAGAAAAGTTATTGAACAAAATCAAATCCCTTCTCACTCAGGACTCCAGGAAGCCTGAATAGTATTTTCTTATACTTTTGTGTGACTTGAATTTTGTTCACAGCATCTAAGACTTTTTATTTTGCACATTCTTTCTTCAAACCAAAACAGAAAAATTTGCAGTCTCAAAGGACATTCAAAATAAATTCCTCGTTATTAAAGACATATCAATTTGAGCTCACAAGTTTTAAAAAATCAGTCTATAAATTATTGCTAGATTCACATGTGAATGCTTTTCAAGCTCTAATGGTGCACATGAATCACATGGGGGTGTTTGGGTCTCAATCTGCATTCTTAACAGGCTACAAGTGATATACATAGTCCGATTTACTGGGGACACTTGACCTAACAAATAGCACCTGAGTCAGAACCCAATCTCCATAATCTTCTTTCCCACAGCTCTTACTCAATGATTTCAATACTGAGTGGATAGAGAGGAATTTATATAAGAAAAATAAGTTGATATGAGAAAAAGTGCCCAGTGATTGGAAAATAATAATAGTAACAATTTGGTGGGCATTATTGACTAAACTGGTTTAAATTAAGTTAGTTAGACCATTAGTTGAAAGGAACCATATTCATTTCTCTCCCACTAAATTATTGAAATAAAAAGTCCACTTATAGTTGATATCTGAAACAGTCTCTTTTCAGTCCAATTTCTTTTTTGTTTTAACCTAAATCTCTCCTAAAAAATAAGTTCTGCCCTCAGCAATGATGATTTTGAGACACTTATGTTTTCAACGGTCAAATGCCATGTTCAAAGAAATCTATAAGAAATGGGAAAATCTTTTAATGCAGACCCTTAAAAACTAATGTACTAGAAATATTCCGTCTTCTTCCAAGCAGACACCAGTGAAGTGACTTATTCATTTCAGTGGTACTGCTCTTTCCTCAGAAGAATGTTAGAGCTCTTCTTTGAGATTCACTTTCAGGCAGCTGATGAATTTTGAATAGTCTCTGAAGTGACAAATCTTTTAAATTTGCAGGGATATTTGATTTTTAAATAATCCAAAGCACCAGGCAAACTGAATAATACGTATTTTATAGAAGAGGGAATCTTTTGACATGATTTAAGTTATTTAGAAAACCTGACCCTTAAATTATAAGATTTTTCTTATATGACTCATTAATTGTTCTGCAATTATCTTTTAGTCACCATAAAAAAGAAACCAGAATAAAGAATGTTTAATGTGTTTACAGACTTTTTCATTATATCATAGGCAGAGATAAAAGTGATGTTACAAGGAATAATACAATAGGAATGATTGTAGTCACTCTATTTTCCACCAACCAGAAGCCTCTCTGGGAGTTGTTTCAGTTCATTTATTTTATGATTGGCACATTTGGCTATCAGTCCCCCAAGCTGTTTAATGCCAAGAATGCACTGAAATAAGCCGAGGATTTTTGTCCTACAGTCTCAAGATGATAATCTTGTAAGATGTGCTTTCTTTTAAGTCACATGTCTTACGCTTCTTCCAACATGCCTTGTCTCCATAAGGC